CCATGATAGTGTGTATGCAGGCTCCTGGTGGAGCCAGTTTTTAAGGCAGGGATCCAGGTTTGGTGAGTTGACGCATGAGAGTGTCCATGCGTCAAGAGGTGGGGTCCAGAAGTAACATTAAACAATGTTTTCTATTATTGTTGCAGTGATTTGTGTGATTAGCTGTTTATTTACAAGTATTAAACCTATGCAAGTGGTGCATCCTTGTTCAGATGAGGCTTTGATGGCCTATAAGTGAAGTTCACTGATTACAATGTGGAATAACATTGAGATGTTAAATAATTTGGAATAAATTATGGGAAAACGTAGGAGTTTAATGAGTTTAGAATAAACCTGCAATGATACTTGTCTCTGTGATGCTGAATACTTTATTACTCTTATGATCTACAGTTGGTTGCGAATGTGAAGTTGTTTTAAATTTAAGACTTTGTCTTCTGTGATACAGGAGCTGGGAGCTAAACAAGCTGAACATTTAAGTGCTGATTAATGTTTTTACACAGGGTTACAGCTTGGAGTGAAGCTGCTCCAAGGGACAAACCCTGGAGATTGTTTTAGGGAGACTGTGCAACATTCTTGTACATGTCTCATTGGGGAGTTGACACATGGCGAAAGCCGTGTGGCGAGAGGAGTGTCATTTTTTCAATTTGTAGATGTCGTGAGATGCCATGATGAGAAGGAGTGACTGAGAGGATCGCCCACAAAATGGAACCTGAGGGAGCGTGCCAAGCTCCTAAAAGTGACAGCGCAGAGGAGGTCCAGCGATGGACTTGTGGTTCTGTGAACAGCACAAATGCAAGGTGACTGTAAAATAACTAACAGCACTTTTTCCACAAGTGAAGCCAGTAACTTACTATCCTAAAAGATTAGCTCTAGTTGCTCGTGCTTTACCTCCATGCGTGAGATCAGTATGTGCAGCAGCTTAAGCTGTACAATGTTTCAATAGTTTATTTCACCTTTTGCAATTGTTAGTTCCACACGAGGTAGATGTTTACTATTGCAGACTAAACTTACATTTCTGTCACCTACAAGACACTTGTCTTTAATGTTACTGTTACTCTCACAACCACACATATTACCATAAAGTGGTGCACAATTCTGAATCTGTCCAACCCTTTTTGCCAACGGAGGAGGGCACTTCTCATGAGTGTAGAGAGCGCGAGGAGAAGATGTGTAAGCTGAGGGATGATTTAATAGATGTGCCACTCGTTGAGGAAAAGGTTTGGTTTGTTGATGATTTGAGTTTTATAACAGCAGAGGGACAGACTAGAACAGGTTTTACTGTAGCAGACAGTGAGAGAGAGTTATCTATGTAGGACAACTAGCATGTTTCATATTTGCTTGAGCAGCAGAGATGCTAGCTTTAACGGAAGCGTGTAAAGCTGTAGAGAGACAATATACACTGATAGGTAGTATACATTTGCTACTGTACATTTCTTTGTAGTGCAGTGAGTGAGACGAGGTGTGACAACCTCTACAGGGAAACCTGCAGAACACACCAAACTCTTGCAAATTCTGCTGGATGCAGCGTTATTAACCAGTGGAATTGCTGTTTGTAAATGTGCAGCACACATGTGAGGGAAAGATCCAGTTGCATTAGGAAAAGATTTTGCAGATAAGATCGCAAAAGAGGCAGCTGTAGTTAAACATGGTGTTAACATTTTAGAAATACAGCATCAGCAGACATGCACATCCACTCACCTACAGCAGGAAAACAGTTGTGACTTACAGAGGGAGCAAGCTTGCAGGATGATTTTTTTTTATCTGTGTGATAAACCAGTACTGCCTAATAATTTGTATAAGACTGCTGCTATTTTGAGCCATTGGCTATGCCATGTCTCAAACAGGAGGGAGATGAGCAGTCGTTATACTCACTCTAGGATTATTAAATACTTTTTTAAAAAAAAGCTTTTTTGCAGAGAGAACTAATGGAACAGTAAAGTTAAGATTTAGGAAGACAGGCAGGACATGGTTAGACTGTATAGAATAAGTACATGAGGATTACTCCAACAGAGAATGGTCTGACTCTTTGAGATTACACATGTTAGAGCATTTAGAGTTCCAGTCTTCTGTAGTGATGATAGAAAAGCAGAAGAGAGAGCATATTAGCGGATTAGATGCTTGAAATGTTTAAAAGTAAAGTAGTCATGAGAACAAATGATCTGCCAGATGATTCTGTTTCTTCGCAGGAGCAGAGCCTGAAGTCTGGAGATTGGATGATGATAAGGCCATGGAGAGGAAGTGCTGGTCCAGTCCACGATGGGAAGGTCCATATCGGATGCTGCTGACGACGACCACAGCAGTGAAGATTGCTGGAAGGAACACTTGGATATATCAAGCGCACTGCAAGAAGGTGACACACATCCAGGCCAGCTCGGAGTAAGTGGCAGGAAGACCGGGAACAAAGGGGGGGAAAGCCTCCAGGGCCCCTCGTCTCAATCCGGTGAAGAAACCAACTGAGCCACAGGTACTCATCAGAATGGCTGGGAATGTGCTGTGCATCTTCTTGTGCCTGTGGACCCTGAGTGGGATGACAGGAGCGCATTGGGACAGAGCAAATCACACCCAGTACCCGCATGGGTTTTCAACCAACTACTGGTGGCAGTTTAAGAACACAACCGGATAGCATCACTTGGAGCGAGACAGTTTGTTTGGTTGCTTTAGCAACACATCCAGGAACACTGCCAACTTTTCAACTGCTCTGAACCTGAATGGAAGGTTGATTCACCAGTAGCTGGGAAGGTGAACTGCTCTGGTGAGACAGACCTGCTCGTCTGACTCAAAGAATATGACTTGTTGCAGGACATTATACAGTTAAACGAACTGGAAACAGGCCAATTGCCTATGTGTACGAAGGACAATGGATTAGCCCAAGTTGGAGATTAACCATGGAACATGGCAACATCACTTATTCTTTTGTCTTTTGCAAGAAGGATGTAAACAGAGAAGCCTTTTGTCTACATTTACATCATGAACACTTGAGGTTTTGAGCCAAGAAGATCAAAACAGCTTGATCCAATTTCCTTTACAAAGCTTTTTCTGTGGTGACAACAGGACAGGAGAAGAGTTGTAAATGCAGATAATTCACAAGTTGACTCTAACCCCCACAGGATGCCTACAGTGAGAAGATTTGGGGGGTTGATAGGAGTCAATAAAGAAGGGTGTTGACTTGCTGCAGCTTTGAAGTTAGCTGAGAGCCACATGGACAAACAATAAAGTCAACTGATGCGTTTAAATACCTATGTCTGTATACAGTTGGATTGTAGAGACATGATTTTTGAGAATGATGATTCTTCTTGTTTGACCTTTGACATTCAGTTGTGTACTTGAAGAAATACATAATGAATTGCACGACAGGAGTAGATCCGCCACAAGGCTGGATAGCTTGGTTACCGTCTGGTCCTTGGTGGCATCTTCTTTTGAAAATATTAATTCCTGTTTTTGAACTGTTGATACTGATTTGCTTATGTATAGGATGTAGTTTACTGTGCATGAATGAAATCTACACTGACACTGTCTAAACAAAGGGTGCATAAGTTGAAATTTAAGTATACAATGACAAAAAGGAGGGAAATGTTAAGTCTAATTGTTGAATGTCGCCATTGTGTTTCTTAAATTTGTATAGTCTTAGTTTAAGCAGTAGGATCAAAGCCATTCCTTTGATCCTGACCACCTCTCCAGCCACTCTGTGCTGGGGGAGGTTTTATTGTAGATACATCCTAACTTGAAGATCTGTTTGATGTTTGGTAGAGCTTCCTACCCTTTGTATGGTTTCACTGTGTTATCTTTGGTAAACCATACATTGGGTGTGGGGGAAGACTACCCTCTTTATGACCAAGGATGTTGTTCCTGCTTTTAGGTTTTATGACCCTTTGACCAACAAACACACACACACACACACACACACACACACACACACACTCAGTGTATACATTTACATACAGTGCCTTGTCTTTGTAACCAAAGGGGGGTTGCAAGGGGAGGTGTTTTGTAAACTATTGTTTGAAGTTTGTCAATAAAAGGCGGCGAGAGGAGGCCACCAGTGTGGTCATTTCAACGTGCTGGTCACAGACGAGAGGCCTCCCTTGCGCAAGAAATCGAACGTTGTTGCCTTGCTTTTCTTTCATGGGAATACGTCTTAGATACAGCGGGGTCTGAGTTTAGACCCAACAGTTAATAGCTACCTGTTCCTGACTGATTAACTGATTGATGCATCAGTGTAAAGAGTGAGCTTATCCCCCCACTAATGTGTTCTGCATTGCTCTTAAAAAAGTTATTATTAGGGGACCAAGGACCGGGAGGCAAATCCCTTGGTCCCCTAATTTCCTTGGAGGAAAGGACTCTAAAAGTAAAAGCCTCAAAAACTTATGTCTTGATGTATCCTCAATCATCTGTGTATGGAAATCTTGGTAAGTTAATTCTATTCATCTGGACATAGCATTTTCATTGGTAAAAATGTCCTACAGGTTTCCCAAGCCTTAACAGTACATTTGCATAATGACTGAAGAGAGCATCACTCGCTAACAATCGGCTTTGAGGTCAGTTTTATGATTATTAATACACACATTTGTATGATCATAGATCAATTCTCCAGGAGTACTATTCACAGACAGTTGGGGAATGGCTGCAATGTAAAATTTGGTTCTCATTTTAATGCTCCAACCTCCACACCTTTTTAATTCATTCACTTCTCATTAGTACACGCGTCATCCAGCCTAGGGGCAACTGCCAGTTCCCGATGAGGCCTTCCAAATTCAATTCCCTATGAGGCCTTCCAAATACAATCACAGATTGTCTATCTGTGATTGTCAAATCTAAATAAGGGATATTGTCCCAGCTAGTTTAATGGTATTTAGGTAATTCTGCTCTAGGAATAACCAGATGGTAAAGATCCCTTGTGGTAATGCTTAAACTGGAAATGATATCTATGCTCTCATGTACAACCAATGGGCCAATAATGAATGGTGTAGCGATGAATTATCATATCTGTTCCTTGAACCTACCTCATCACACAAGTACAAGCTGAGAACCAAAGTCAGAAAGCCAGTGGATGGATACCTCCCATGCTTTTCTAGCCAAACATAATGGACATATTTCATGAAAGCAGGGCTGAGGATCATCACCTATTAAAGATTACAGTTAGACTTCAATGACAGTTTAGTAAATAATAGAATTACCTTTCTTATGACATATCATATTCTGGATGTTTGAAGAATAAGTCATTCTACTCACCAAATTCGTGTTAGTTTTCACACCTGATTTAGCAGTTTCTTTTTGCCTGTTGGATATAACAATAACATGAAATAAGTCCAAGCTCAAAAATGCAACTGCATTTTAAAATATGGTGCAGTTTACCTTTGTGCTTTTGTAATGGTTTGTTTGTTTGTTTGTTTGTTTGTTTGTTTGTTTGTTTTCTAATTCTACACTGCCAGGGAGGCACCGAGACCATGACACAACTGTGTGTGTATATATTATGTTTTTGTCATGGTCTGTGGCCCTATGTCTGTGGAGTGTGTGGGCTGCCCTGGTGGCCACACCTCCGGGCTGGGCCATCACCTGCACACCTGCTTTCCATTCTGGGCAATTACCTGGAGGACTATTTAACCCACGCTGACGGATGCTCCACGCCAGTCCGTTAATCACCCCTCAGGGGTAACTAGGCTTCCCGCAAAAGCTTTGTACATATGTGTCATTTGAACTGCATTAATTCTGCCTTCATGTGCCTAGGGTACGATCCGCCGTTTGTGTCTGCTACCTGCTTGTCCTCCTGCTTGCGAGCAGTGCATCATCTGACCTCATCCTTGCCTCCTCGGATTCGCTTCCCACGGAAGACTTCCCCCCCTTCCGAGTCCCACTGTCCAGCTCTGATCGTAAGCCAATTACAAAAGCCCTGTCTTGTTGTGTCTCCCTATTTCCCAGCTGTTACAGGAAAAATGATTCTATGTTTCTTTACCTTCTTTTAAATGTGCAAGCATGCCCTTTTGTCTATGGTTAGATTAGTTTAGAATTATCTTTTTAGACTTTCTCAGCAAAGACATACTGTTTTGGGACATATTGTTTTATCTCTCACAGCCTTCTCCCAGCTCTCTGCTGACGAGACTAGCGCCACATATGGAGTTGTTTATTTTATTTGTTTTGTATTTTCTTATCCTGTTCTCACTGTCTTTCCTATAAAAAGTGCCCAGCCTCTGTACACGTTGTGAGTTGTTCTGAACAGCTTACCCGTGTGCACGTTAAAGCATAAAAAGTGATCTTGTCTCATTGTGTCTTTATTTCTCCTGGGTCTTTTACAGAGTTTTCCCCCAACACCAGCTCACTAGTAATTTTCTCCCCTTTCTGTTGCAGCCTCCCATGGTCCTGATTATGGCTTCCCTGTGTCGTTTATCTTCCCATTTTTTCTTCAGTTCCTCGTTTTGTTTCTTTGGTTGTTCCGGGTCACCTTTTTGTTAAAGCAATAAACTGTTTTCTTGCTCGCATTTGACTTATTGAGTCTCCTTTTGGATCCCATTTGTGTGAGCACACTGTGGTGCATGACAGTTTTATTGTTGTTGTACGCTCTTTCTCTCCCCCTCTCCTCTGTCTGGGTGGAGCTCATCTTAGGCTCCCGCCTCTGACCCACGCACCTGCCCTGATTACCAAACCTCCCGCTGATCTACCTGATTTCATTAACACTACTTAAGATGGCAGTTCAATACTTCTCATCGGGCTTAAGCCGCTTTGAAAACTAACCCTGAGATATGTTTTTGTGAATCTCTATCCAAATTTAAGACTGTTTGGTAAAGGCATCAGCGCAGTGCTGAAACATTTCTGACAAAGATGTAAAAAAAATAGGAATTCAGGATGGAAACACTTTTTCATACAACTGTGTAGGGTTAAAAATATAGCTTAGCCCATTAGTATTATATTATAGCCAGTTTTTTGCTTGATTACATGCTTTTGGAAGCCGTAAACAAGCTCCTAATATAAATCCGATGAGATATTTGACCACTCTTCTTGGTGGAAGTATAGGTAATTTTAATTAGCTGGCTTCCTGGCACAGGACTGTCAACAGATTTTCAATCCGTTGGGGCTGTGGGAAGGAACTTTATTTGTCTCAACATGTCACAACTTTGCTAAGATCTGAATGATGACTCAAAATGTCAGAGGATATTGGTTAGGATGTTCAGTTAAAAAAAACCCACAACCACCAAGGTTCAAGCCTGTCATGAACTGGAAACTGCTGGAACACAAAGCTCCATTGTCTACAGTGAACTACAATTTCACATTTAGTTTAAAATACACACTTTCATGCTTGACTAAAATTTGCAGCTGGGCAACAACAACAAATGGTCAGACAAAATAAAGATTGAGCTATTAGGCCATAAAGTGATGTGTTTAGAAAAGCAGTGGTGAGACTTAAATCTAAGAACACTGTGCCAACTGACAAGCATGGTGGTAATAAAATTATGCTCTGGGGCTGTTTTGCAACCGGAGGTAATGGTTGAAAAATGTCAGTTCAGACCTATAATTGAATTGAATATTGAGACTGACAAGTTGAGCTGCAGAGGAATTTGCAAACATTTTTACACATCATAACTAATATAAGTCAGGGTAATATTTTTCTGGGCCAAGGGACTCTGAACAGAATGTCCCAGACTTAGGTTATAAGTAGAAAACAACAGGCTAGGAATTGGTAGATAATATTAATACAACAAGGTTAGGGAGGGAGGTGTTGTTTTTCAGGAAAGGAGCAGGAAATGCAAGATGAGATCAGACGTGGATGCAGTGCAGAAGTTCCACTTGGAAGAAATCACGACTGGCCACATCATTTCCCATAAGAGGATAGTCATAATAATAATAATTGTTTCTGTTGTGGTATAAAACAACTTACAGGATATTACCCACTTAAGGGGTCCTTTTCGTAAAGCAGGCCGCTGGTTCACATCAAGGTGCAGCGCCGTAACTTGTAATTTCAACTTCTAAAATGAATAAAATATTTTATTAAATATTTATTTATTAAATATTTTTTCTGCTTTTTGCAGATGATGTGGTTGTCTGTTGGCTTCATTGGGTGAAGGCCTCCCGCTCGCACTGGAAAAGTTCGCAGCCGAGTGTGAAGCAGCGGGAATTAAGATCAGCACCTCCAAATCTGAGGCCATGGTTCTGAGCCGGAAAAGGGTGCCCACTCCGGGTCGGGGATGAGTTCCTGCCCCAAGTGGAGGAGTTCAAGTATCTCGGGGTCTTATTCGCGAGTGATGGGAGAAGGGAGCCAGAGATCGACAGACGGATTGGGGCTGCAGCTGCAGTAATGCGGACGCTGCACCGGTCCGTCGTGGTGAAGAGGAAGCTGAGTGTAAAAGCAAAGCTCTCAATTTACCGGTCGATCTACGTCCCTACCCTCACCTATGGCCACGAACTATGGGTAGTGACCGAAAGAACGAGATCGCGGATACAAGCGGCAGAAATGGGCTTCCTCCGAAGGGTGGCTGACCTCTCCCTTAGAGATAGGGTGAGAAGTTCGGCCATCCGGGAGGGGCTCAGAGTAGAGCCGCTGCTGCTCCACATCGAAAGGAGCCAGCTGAGGTTGTTTGGGCATCTGACAAGGATGCCCCCTGGGCGCCTCCTGGGTGAGGTGTTCCAGGCATGCCCCACTGGGAGGAGGCCCCGGGGCAGACCCAGGACCCGCTGGAGGGATTATATCTCTCGGCTGGCCTGGGAAGGCCTTGGTGTTCCCCCGGATAAGCTGGAGGAGGTGGCTGGGGAGAGGGAGGTCTGGGCTTCTCTGTTTAGGCTGCTGACCCTGCGACCCGGCCTCGGATAAGCGGATGAAGATGGATGGATGGATTTTAAAAGGTAGTCAGGGGCGCCCATTTAGCTCAGTGGAATGAGAACCATATCGCATGGCTGTGTATTTCCTTAAAGACAGACTGGCGACCTGTCCAGGGTGTACCCCGCCTCTCGCCCTATGACAGCTGGGATAGGCTCCAGCGCCCCCCGCGACCCTGAAAAGGAGAAGCGGAAGCGAATGGATGGATGGATGGATGGACAATTGGTCTGTTTGTATCTGGAAATCCCAGAGGATCTTTGATCGGCCATTCTCAACCACCGTAGGGCACATATTCGCAGATGTTTCTGTATACTATGCTGACCACTTTTTTATAGAGTTCCATGTATGCCCTGCCTGGAAACATTTTACACCCTGCTGTTATGTGCTGGATTGTTTCAGGGGCATCTTGGTACAGCCTGCACCTAGGCTCTTGTCTGTTGTTGTAGACACCCCCCGGCATCTAGTGCTCAGAGCTTGTTTCTCTGGTGCCATTATTAATTTCTCCGTGCTGTCTTTCAGTTCAGCTTTGCCTAGCCCCTGGTAGGATTTCTGGATATCAGCCACTTCTTTTACCTGACGGTGCTACATACTATGCAGGGGCCAGTTGTCCCATGGTATTTCCTCTTCTTGCTCCTCTTCTTTCTTGGATTTCTGCTGCGTGAGGTATTTACTAACCAAACTAAGTTTGGTCTTGGCTATCTTCCTGATGTTCTCATGGATGTTTGTTGTTTCATCCTGGACAGTGGTTTTGACAGCCACTAGTCCTCAGCCTTCTTCCTTTTGCTTACAGCGTACAGTCTCAGGGAGCTGGATATATGCAAGGTGATGAGCTTCCTGTTTTTTTTTTTTTTATATATCAGTGGCTTCTATATCTTCCTTTGGCCATCTTATTATCCCATTAGGTCTCTCTTCACCAGCAGGGCATGGGTGTTGATTGCCCGGATTAGTGATGTGCGGATCGATACTGAAATATCAATTCCTCCAATACCAGTCATTTATGTTCTAGAATCGATTCTCATATTAAAATATCAATATTTTAGTAATTTAGGGTAAATTTGTAGTTTATCATGAACAGGAACAGAGTGGAAAGAAACTATACCATTCGGATTGTCTACATTGGAAGGAACTACTTCCTCTTCCGCCTTTCAAAGTCATGTGCGAAATACGACTGCATAAATGTGTCGCAGCCCCTTGGCTTGGCATGTTGGTTCTGTGGAGTACAGGTGGCTGATTCTCCTGCTTCCTATATGTCTGGTATACCTTTTTGGCTGGCTGAGGCTGTGAGTCTTTACCTGGCATTTTCCAAGGCCTCAGTTATGGGCAGCTTGCTAACTTCTTAGACATCCCTTTCTACAACATCCCTTTCTGTAGGTTCGATAGATGGCTTTCCTCTGTGCTACCTTGATCTTGGCCTCTAGTGTCTTTCTCCATGGAGGGCATTGCTCCTTTGGCTGTTTATTTTGTAGCAGCCCATTCTCCGTGTTCGCTGTTGCTGTTGTACAGATCAGTGAGTTGGTTTCGGTTATGGTTGCAGTCATTCTCATAGACCGTCAGAGGGTACTTCACGTAACCTTGGTAACCGGCTACATAGGGTCCAGGTTTCTATCTTCACAATGATCCCATCTATCAGGTCAGCTGCTCTCGGACTCAACACCTTCACTGCAACAGTTGTACTTCGGCAAGATACTCAACCCCGTCTTTCTGCATAATAGCAGTGTTGGAACACACTGTGGTCCTATACTCTTGTGAGCATCAGTTGAACAGTATTCTATTGCAGAAAGTAGTGTGTTGATACAAAAATGGTAAGAAAAAGGAAATTAACAATGGAAGAAAGACAGACCACCATTACACTTAAAAATGTAGGTCTTCCCTATAGAGAAATTGCAAAGAAAGTCAAGGTGTAAGTGAGTACAGTTTGCTTCACCATTAACAAACTGGGGCAAACTGTGACAGGAACAAGTCTGGTAGGCCAAAAGCAACAACTTAATCAGAGGACAGGTTTCTGAGAGTTAACAGCTTGCATGACAGGTAGTTCACAGGACAACAGCTTCAAGCACAGCTTAATAGTGTTCATAGTAAGCAAGTCTCAGTTTCAACTGTAAAGAGAAGACTTCAAGCTGCAGGTTTGACAGAATGAGTTGCAGCAAAAAACCCATTGCCAAGATATCAGAATAATACAAAGAGTGCTTGCCTGGGCCATGAAACACCACCACTGGACTACTGAAGACTAGAAGAAGGAATTACTAACTAATTAATTAATTGGACTAATTAATCAAAATAAATCAAAATATACATGAGCTATTGTTCATGCATATTTGTAAGTGCAACCTGTAAATATTTACAAACCAAACTTAGTTTGTTATACCTCAGGCAGCAGAAACCCAAGAAAGAAGAGGAGCAGGAGGAGGAAATATCATGGGACAACAGGTCCCCGGTATATTATGTACCGCCGTCAGGTAAAAGAAGTGGCTGATATTCAGAATTCCTACCAGGGGCTAAACAAATGTGGATGAATGGCATAACAACGGGCCTCAGGATCTCGTCGAGGTATCTCTGTGCATTCAAAATGCCAGCAATAAAATGCACCCGTGTTTGTTGTCCATAAGATACGCCTGCCCGTACCAGAACCCTACCGTCACCATGGGACACTCGATCCACAATGTTGACGTCAGCAA